CTACTGACAACACTCTTCTACACTAGATAAGAGACTTGTGTCGAGCTCCATCCCGAATTATAAGATTGACGAGTACTAGCTATAAAAGGGTGTTCTAAATGCTAACGTCTCTGGTAAAATATCAGGAGATGTGTCTGGCCAGAGCACAATATGCTTTAGCATTTTAGGGTTTCACGACCATTTCTTCAACTGTCCTGATGCTACCAGAGCAGATTTTGCTACAACAGCAAGCCTGGGATAACAACCCTAAGCAGTTCAGGCAGCTATAACAGCCTCATTCTTAGTGGTTCGTCCTAACATCATACTACGAAGGAGATATTCTCTATGCCCGCTTTTCCGACTAACAATGAGCGGTTGGTTATCCAGGAAACGACTAGAAGATAAGGTATTCTTGAGGTGGTGTATCTTCCTCCAGCACGATCTCCGTATACAGAGACTTCAAGGATTAGAGTCAAGCTACTCGCATATCCAGCTATCTATTATAAAGAATTATAATAAGGAATAGCTAAAAGTTTCACCACTGACCCTTTTCAGAGCCATTATAAGTATTTACGTTCTCTACTTGAGCATAAATCTCATCGGTTTATTTGAGAACCACCTAAAGTTATCCTACCTTTGCCAACAAATACACTTTAACTACCATTTCCAGCAACGATTCGTTGACTAACAGACTGAATAAAGCCAGCCACTATTAAACTCAGTCAGTCATTCACTGGCAGACATCACAAGTGGAGTTGTTCGTCGCAAGGCTGGAATCTCTGGCTACTGACGACCTTATACTACCCTCTTGACTCTTAGCGTTCAACCAGGAATCACCAATCCTCTGTAAACCTAACAGCTACGAAGAAAAAATAAAGGTGAGCAAACGGAACAGTCTTCAATGGGTAAACATAAGCCAATCCCCCACCTTAGATCACCAGAAATTTGATCTCTGCAAAAAAGGTTCTTTAGACGCCAATGTCTTTGGCGTAATATCAGGAGACATTGGAAAGAGCTATACAACTAGTTCTAATGCTTCCAACATTGTAGTTTTCCTCCCGATCAGTCTGGTGCTACAACAAGAGGCTAGAGAAGATTACCCTCAGGGATAGAGACAGTCATGTTAGCTGAAAACTTTAGTCAAAAAAGAGCTGAACTCACCAACCTTGTTAAGGGCCATCGGACGTCAAACTACCTTACTAACAAATATATTAGAACTTAACGAAGTTGACAGAAAAAGGCATTGAGTTCTCACAAAAGTTCTAACCATGCCAAAAGTCGCAAGAGGGTGAATTGAAAGGAAAACTTCAAATGTATATGAAATGTTAGGCAACAAGTAACTGACGCAGAACGTTTATCAAGATTGAAACATCAACATCAAAATCGATAGTTAAAGAATTTATCATGTGAGGAATCAGCTTTTTATTATAACCTTCACGAAAATCTCTTCAATTTTCTAGATTTTCAAATAGGTAAAATATTTATTTGTATTTTTGTCGCGATAACAAGTGTAGAGATTAAGCTTCAGGACTTTAGTGATTTCATAATAAAGTTGAGAGATAAAAAAAGAAGATTTTCGAAGCGATGCTTCTTATCTAGGGCCCTTGTTTAATGAAAATATAGGAAACTGTTACACTTTCTTTTGCCCCCTTCTTCCCTCCCCCCCCCTCACCACATGCTTTTTCAACAGTGAGAGTACTATATATGCAATATACGGTAGCAAGCGCGTGCGACTCTCTCTTTTAGTTTTTCTGAGCATCACCGAACGGCACGAAAATTCAAAAGTGAAACAAGACACGAAGCTTAAAAATAAAATATATGAGATATAAATTTCTAAGATAACATATGTGCCAGAAAAATATTGAAAAACTCTGAACAGAAATTTTTCACGTAACAACAACACCCTGCTCAGCACACATTGGTCGTCGTGTGGCAAATGTGTTGCGTTAGATAGTGGAATGATGTTACGGGAAAGAGCGTGGCCCTACCTAGACATGCTAGTTAGTGAGATTCAAGGAATTGAGCAACAAAACGCCGGACAGTAGCTGCTTGGCTGTCACAACCCATAAGATTAACACAGGATTCTACTCGTTGTTTGTTGAAAAGTATAATTATGGATATATACGCCTTGCAGATTTTGCAACACATGGCAGCGGTTTTGCTGCTCACTTTCTTCAAGCTCACTCATCCTACTTTGTCTCTATTTACATACATAGTTATTGTTTATATTTATATGGGGCTTAACGACGTTGCCCTGTTTATGCAAATAACAAAAAAAACTACTTGAAACTTGAAAGTATGGTAAAGTAGACTTTTTAATATTTATTTATAGATGACAAATTTTTTGTGTTTTTTTTTCAATTTGTATTTCCATGTATTATTGCATATGGCATAACATATGGCATCACCAATCCACAACCCCTTTTGTATCTAAAACCACATGAAATGCCGTATGGCTTTCCCAAACTAATTATACATGGAATTCTATCGTCCATTTTTAGGTGGGTGGCCTACTTAAAATTTTCGATCGAAAATATTTGTAAACCTGATGTTCCTGAACGGCGAAAAAATCTGAAAGCATATTAACAAGGCGGAAAAAGTATGAGCGATAAATTCTTATAAATATAAAATTTCGAATGAGCATTAATGAATTTTGTATTTCTAACATAAAATAATGTTTAATTGCCTAAAAATCACACAATTAAAAAAAAATAGTTTTTTTATAATAACCTTATCGGGACTTCGCTTCTCCCATGGGTCCCATGGCTTATTGGTTTATTTTTTTTTAATTAAATATTTTTTGTGAGTTTTCAATCTTGACAGCTTCCAAAAATATCCCTTTTTGTAGATTATACGGGAGACAGTGCAAATGAACTGTCCTTTAGAGCCAACTATTTTTTTATGGAATCATAGAAACTGTATGGATTTCGAACAAATATGTACTAGACAAGAAGATTTTCTAAGAAATGTCAGGAATAGATGTAAGATTTTTAACTGAAAAAGTTTTACATTACATGTCAACACACAACAGTGTTTTAGTTAGTGAGTCTTGGGCAAAGCCGTTACAGATGAGATCGCTAGTAATATAATATTGTTCTAAGAAAAATAAGGCTTGGTGTATAATAAATTTTTATAGTGTCAAAGAGAACATTTATATTGTTTTACTAATCTTTAGCCATTACTTAGTTATTTTTTTATACGTAATTATGTGGGAAGAAAGAATTTCTAATTTTTTACAATGCATAAACTATCAAAAGTCTACAGTAAAAGTTTTTTAAGTCCACAAAGTTAATGTACTATTTAAAAAAACTTTACGTGAGCAGTGTCCAACACTCTCACAAAATTTTTTGGTATCCCTGTGAGTGGGTGTTTGGCGTGTTTGTTAGTATTTAATAGTTATCGACAAGCAGTTGCACCCTTATTCACTTCTCTATCGAAAATCAAGAAGCATGTGATATATTAGTATAATGATTGTAGAATTTTTTGCCATTTCATAAACTGCATGTGATAGATTGCCAAAGCCTTCGCGGTGTGCTTGAAGAAAATGGTGTAAATATTAAGTTAGTATCTATTTAAGTGAAAGAATGAGCGTGTTTGGATTTAGAATACTTGTAATACCTTAATAATGTAAGAGGACTTGAGCCAGTTCATTGATTGTGGAGACTTTTTATCTTTATTCAAAGTTTATGCACAGTACGGCAGCAGATGATATAATCCTTATAACGCAATAATCTTATGTAGCTGTCTTTTTTATTCAGTGGTTCATCATTGCCCTAAGACTTAGATATATCTATTTGACACAACATAGTGCATTTAGTTTGATGAAAGCCGCCTATAAGGGTGGACAATTTTAAACTGAGAGAGAGAGAGAGAGAGAGCCGAGGGTGGTAGGAGTCGTCTTCGAGGGTGCACACTCAAAAAGGTTCGCACTGCGTAAGACAGTGCAGTCGACACCTTAATACCTTGTGCGCATTTGCCACGTAGGATGGTGTGTACTGCATGGTATTTTTACGTGTAGGCACGTCTACCTTCTGTGAATACCATACATTCTGTGGAGCTGCACTCACACGCTCTTTTGACCTGCGTGGACGGCATTTTCGGGTGTAAAGAAAAGTATTCGTCCTTGCGTTGAGCATCTATACGTATAATAAATACGATGACTTTTAAATCAGCGTATGGTTATTAAATAACTCAGTACTGTTATTAATAATTGTTTTATTAAATGCAAATGAAAAGTAAAAAATATTATTGATAATAAATATACAATCAGTAAGAGAATCACAATACGTGTCTACTTATAAGATATGAACCATCATTTTTTGAAAAAACAAGGGATAGAGTAACAGTAATTAAAGAATCGTAATGTATGTATTCGCACATTTCTTTTTCGAATAAACAGAATCTGCTGAAAAATGCTAATTAAATCCAGTTTGTTTTATTGGAATGTACCTAGCAATAATTTACTTGTCTACCACAAATATATTTATTATTTTGCTGTATTGTATACCATCATTGTCGACAATTTTTGCAACTTGGCACGTATTTTTTATAAAACCCAATTTATTGTTAGTAATTTTACTTAATTCAGTTCTGTTACTTGCTAAAGGAAGCGTAATATTTACTTCAGAACCAGCTATAGCTAAGTCTTTGAATACACACATTTTATTATATTTTTCAAAAGGCTGCAACTTTAATCTAAGTTGCATTCGAATCCTAACAGTCTTTATGATGATGGTTTACATGTTATAAGTAGACACGTATTGTGATTTTCTTACTGATTGTATATTACTATGAATAATATTTTTTAATTTTTATTTGTATTAAGTAAAACAATTATCAATAACAGTACTGAGTTATTTAATAGCCATACACTGATTTAAAAGTTATCGTATTTATTATACGTATATATGCTCAACGCAAAGACGACTACTTCTCCTTACACCCGAAAATGCCGTGCATGCAGGTCAAAAGAGCGTGTGAGTGCAGCTTTACAGACTGTGTAGTATACACAGAAGGTAGACATGCGTACACGTAAAAATACCGTGCAGTACACGCCATCTAACAAGGCAAATGCGGTTGAGGTATTAAGGTGTTGACTTCACTGTTCTACACAGTGTGAACCTTTTGGCGTAGAGAGGTAGGGCCCTTCTACCGGAATACGTTTTCACCGATAAAGTTATCGTCACTGATGGGTGGCTTAGCAGTGATTCGCGGCAGTTTAAAGGAGCCCGTTACCAGTTTATTTGTACTTTTTCCTCGATTGTTAGACAGTAGTTCGGCAATAGAGCCAAGGAGTGTAGATAGTGGTTGGTGAGAGCAGATGAAAAGAGAGTCCACACACTGAGTGAGTTTAATATGGTAGTAACCATTGGTGTTTTATTAAAATAAATAAGCGCTCTAGCCAATGCCATAGCGTAGGTCTTGTCAGAGGAGCGAGAACCTAGCTTTGGGTTGAGACCAGATAATCCGAGAGGATGATTTTGAGAAGTTGCACAGCTCTTCTTATGTACTATTAGTGGGATCGAATTAGCTGAAATTTCGGTAATTTTTCATGAAACTCAAACTAGCGTGAAAATAATATGTTGTACAAAATAAAACAATGATAATCAATTGTAATAAGATTTAACGAAAAATATTTTCTGGTAAAGCATAAAAAAATGGCAAAAATGGTAAAACACGCTTCATATCGTTGGAAATAAACAATAAACCTTAATTTAAAAAATATATATATATATATATATACAAGTGTGTGTGGTAAAAAAACAAACAAAATAACCTCTGATTAATCCCAATTGGTCCAGTGGTTTCCCCGTACAATGCAAAAAAACCTCGATTTTTGAGCTAATATTAAGAAATTAATAACTATCTTTCGCATTATCATTAACAGCTAAGAGTTGGCAGTGTTGTAGCTTGAGTAATTCATAACAACTACACTAAATTTTAGCAAGACCGGATCAATAGTTTTTTCAAATCGCAGCTAAATGCAAAAAAAACTACTTTGGCAAAATGGCCTAAAAAAAGTTGCTTACGTTAGATGCAATTTTTTTGCAGGATCATATTCTTCAATTCTTACTCTATAAGTTACCAAAGTATCAAGTTTCTTGCAGTATGGAAGTTGGTCATTTGTTTCAAAGGTATCGTTATTCTTCAGAGCACTTGCAGTTCGGACATACTTGGTCGATAACACTGAAGTAGACCTTCAGAAAGTGGACGTAGCTTATGCATTGGCGGCTACGGCGGCTCATTGCCCCATATGCGCCATACCGCCGTGCACAAAATATACCCATGTAGTTTATCATTTTTTAAGCAACTTTCACACTGCAAAACAACTCAATACTTTGGTGAGTTGCAGAGTGAGTATTAAAGAATATGACCCCGCAAATAAATTGCATCTAACGTTATAAATGGTGGGCTGTACTATGAAAAATAAGGTTGGAAATTGTAGCTGCACACGACATTTCAAAATAAAACTTTTGTAAAGGATTAAATTTAATGAATAATAATTATTTTAATAATTAATAATAAATACTTAATAAAATAATAACCTAGATGGTAACAAGTTATACTACATAATTACTCGCTAGAAACTATACCAGAGAGTTTCAAATAGTGAGAGTTAATGTGGGGTCATTGCAGAGCCCAATTTTCCCTTAAACAGAATTGTCATACTTAATTATGATATTTTTATTTTAAAGTGGGATGACAACTCCAGTCATAAAGAGATGACAAGCCAAATATACTACCCACAGAGCAATTGTATAGCTAATTTTCCTCTTACTACTTTCTTTATGAATTAGGAAATGTTTGTCTCAATCTTTAATTCTAATTATTTAATAGGTAACATTAATATTTCTGTATTATCTTATTTATATTCTTATTTTCGTATGTTATTAATAGTATTTAAAGACACTATAAGGTTCAAACTGATAATTTAATAATTTTATGATATACCATTATTTTAGTTACAACAAGCGAGCTCACACGGTTTTCTTATACGTCTATAGATGAGCATTATTAGTATCACTTTACGCAATTTGGGGAGCAAAGACGAAGGAAGTACGTTTGTTAAAATATGTAAATTATATTAAATAGTCGTTGGTTACAAAAAAGTTATAAGCTTTGACTTGTTTTAATATATAATTAATTAAAAACCATTTAGTAATTAGTAGTATAATCTACTTTTTTAATTCATACCGTTAGCACTTTCATTTGTCATAATTTTAAAAATAAATAATGTACTACAAAAACTGAATAATTTTTTAAATATAATGGTGGCAATGTAGTAGCTACGCTAGGAGTTTTAAATTTTAACTCCATAAAAATAATAAGAAAACAAAATAAATCTCATGTCTTAGATTAAAGAAGGGGGAGATGTATTTAAAAATTCAACACAATAAAAACAACGGAGGATCTGATTAAAGTTGACTGTTTCATGAAAAACTTCTTAAAAGCTGCGTTGAGGTTACGGGAACAGTGAGAGGGGGGAGTAAAAATTCATTTGAGCTAAAAATAATGGAAGAACTAAACGAATTTTACTTTATTTTAGGAGAGGAGGGTACGGTAGGAGCTGCGAGTGAACTTATTTTACGACTTATCAAAATTTTTACAGTATAGATTGATACATGTATATATCTGTATGCAAGCGTACCTTAGTCACATTTTTTATACCTTTTATATTTTATTTTAATTAGAAATGAAGCAACAACAGAGACGTCAACTTTTTTATTTCGACAAGAAAAAGACGATCAAAAAATAATTTTGGAAGACAAAGACTTAGAAGTCATTGGGTTACCGATTATTAAGTACGGTGACTCAACAGTTATTATGCAGCACGCTACAACAAGCTTATGGGTCTCTTACAAGGTAATTAGTTATATTTGTGTGGATAATATAAGTTCTTTATTATACGTTGACTAACATTTTATCTAACAGTACTAAATTTCTTAATGTAATACGATTAAAATTTATAACAGTCGATTCGTAGGAAGAGCAAGGTTGAAATCTTACTAACATTTAAAGCAAGAGCGCTAAAACCGTTGTAATCGCTAACCGCGAAAACTACTGAACCGATTTTGTTGAAATTTTGCACACTGATTCATGATACTTCCTAGATGGTTTTAGTATAGTTTTTATCTTAAAAAATTTAATAACAATAGCAATAAATGAGCTCAAAGTTTTGCGAAAATACGCCAGCTTTTCACTTTAGTTCAGTAAAATCCGCTAGGTGGCGTCGACATAAAATCGAAGCTACCTGCCGCATAATTAAATAAGTGTGGTTATAATAGGCTGGAGCGTCTCCATAGTGTTGTAGTCGAGCTTCGGCAATTCAACGAGCTGTATAGAGAATGCTGATGATAGTCTTGCAGCTGGGTATCCCGGTTACGGACGACACTCTTCTCTAAGGGGGAAAGGACCTAGGTGTCCATTCACCCTGAATCTCCACGAGTGCGATCAATTAAAAAAAATTGATTTCAACCGATGCCGTCTCTGTCACAATACCAGGAGACATATCTAGCCAGATCACAATCTGCTCCAACTTGTCAGAGTTGTGTGGTAGTTCTACTATCCCACCTGGTGCAGTTAGAGAATTTTTGGCTACAAATGTAAGCAAGGGAAAACAGCTCTGAGGGGCATGGGCAGCCACAACGGCTACCTTCTTGTTCGTCGCGTCCCCAACGCGCTTACTCACATGTTCCCGTCTAACGATGAGCGGTTGGTTATCCGGGGAACGACCCGAGACGAGATATTCTTTGGTCAGTGGCGTACCTCCCTCTATCACAGTCTCCGTACATTAAAACTCCCAGGGTAAGAATCAAGCAACCGTAGCCAGCTCTTTATCATCAGGAATAAGAATAGCCTGGAAGTTTCACCACTGGCGCTTTTTAGGGCCATTATAAGTATTTACGTTCCTTACTTAACCATCAATTTCATCAGTTCTTTTTAGGATCCACCTAAGTGTAAACTACCTTGCCAACAACTACATTTTTATTACCATTTCCGGAAGCGATTCGTCGACTGAAAGAGTATATTAACTAAAGACGGGCACTATTAAACCAAGTCAGCCATTCACTAGCAGACGTCACATGCGGAGTTGTTCTTCGCAAGGCTAAAAAACCCGGTGACCGACGACCGTATACTACCCTCTCGACTCTAAGCATTCAACCAGGAATCACTGATCCTCTCCAAGGTCTGCGTTGGGCAAATCTATAACAGCTATAAAGGAAAAAAAACCGGAGCCAACGGGACAGCCTCCACTGGACAAGTATCACTAACCAATCTCCCCATATAAGATCACCAAAACAACTGAATCTGCAAATAAAAAAGGTGCTTTCGACACCAACATCTTTGATGTTATACCAGGAGACGTTGGAAAAGAGCACTACAAGTAGCCCCAAAGCTTCGGACTTTGTAATTTTTCTCCCAATCAGTCTGGGTCTTCAACAGCAAGCCAGAGAAGATCACCCTGAGGTATCCAGGCAGTCACAATTGCTGTTAACTGCAGTCAAGAAAGAGTTAATTTAAGAAGCTAACTGGTCTTTTTTAGGACCATCGGACGTCGAACTACCTTGCCAACAAATATATTAGAACTTAACAAAGTTGACAGAAAACAGCCTTTAGGGGTCACCCAAATTTTAAGCATGCCAGAAGTCGCAAGAAGGTGAATTGGAAGAAAAACTTCAAGTGTATCTAATAAATACAATTTTACTTAGGCGTCAAGAAACTGACGCAGAAAATTTATCGAGATTGAAACAGCAGCGTCAAAATCGACAACTAAAGAGTCCATTACGTGAGAGATCAGCTTTTCATTGTAC